GGGGTGACAACCATTATTGGCATGAGTATATATTCAACTGCTGGTAGCGTGATTACCAGAAATTACAAACATATAATACATTTTTATCACGTTTACAGTATACAGGAGACTTGCACAAGTCTCTAAGGTAATGATTAACAATTAAAAATGAAAATTTCTAATAATTATGATTAATAGTTTCAATGATAATTTTAAAAAAAAAGTATTCCTTTAACAGAATGGCGTCCTTAGACTGTCCGCTTATCTAAACTTGCTTAGCAAAGTATACAGTTGCCAATAGAAAAGCAAGCAGTATAACGCGATTATTATAATTTCGTGTTTCAACTCGTTTCAATAGTTCACGGATCCCTTCGTCCCTTAAAAATACGAATTCGCAATAACATTCATAATTATTATTTAGAAACTTCAGTGGATAACCTTTCTTCATTAAGTCCCCTGGGGTCATTGAATCGTACAAACAACATACAAAGTCCATCTTACCCTACACCTTTACACAATGGTCAATACATTGTAAAGTCAGTACACCTTACAGTCAATACATTGTAAAGTCAGTACACCTTACAGTCAATACATTGTAAAGTCAGTACACCTTACAGTCAATACATTGTAAAGTCAGTACACCTTACAGTCAATACATTGTAAAGTCAGTACACCTTACAGTCAATACATTGTAAAGTCAGTACACCTTACAGTCATTACACAGTGGTCAATACATTGTAAAGTCAGTACACCTTACAGTCATTACACAGTGGTCAATACATTGTAAAGTCAGTACACCTTACAGTCATTACACAGTGGTCAATACATTGTAAAGTCAGTACACCTTACAGTCATTACACAGTGGTCAGTACACTTTACAGTCATTACATTGTGTAAAGTCAGTACACCCTACAGTCAATACATTGTAACATTGTAAAGTACACCTTACAGTCATTACACAGTGGTCAATACATTGTAAAGTCAGTACACCTTACAGTCATTACACAGTGGTCAATACATTGTAAAGTCAGTACACCTTACAGTCATTACACAGTGGTCAATACATTGTAAAGTCAGTACACCTTACAGTCAATACATTGTAAAGTCAGTACACCTACAGTCTTTACACAATGGTCAATACATTGTAAAGTCAGTACACCTTACAGTCTTTACACAATGGTCTATACATTGTAAAGTCAGTCTTATAGTCTTTACACAATACACAATGGTCAATACATTGTAAAGTCAGTACACCTTAGAGTCATTACAATGGTCAATACATTAAAACATAAAGTCAGTACACCTTACAGTCATTACACAATGGTCAATACATTGTAAAGTCAGTACACCTTACAGTCATTACACAGTGGTCAATACATTGTAAAGTCAGTACACCTTACAGTCATTACACAATGGTCAATACATTGTAAAGTCAGTACACCTTACAGTCATTACACAGTGGTCAATACATTGTAAAGTCAGTACACCTTACAGTCATTACATTGTAAAGTCAGTACACCCTACAGTCAATACATTGTAAAGTCATTACACCTTACAGTCATTACACAATGGTCAATACATTGTAAAGTCAGTACACCTTACAGTCATTACATTGTAAAGTCAGTACACCTTACAGTCATTACACAATGGTCAATACATTGTAAAGTCAGTACACCTTACAGTCAATACATTGTAAAGTCAGTACACCTTACAGTCATTACACAGTGGTCAATACATTGTAAAGTCAGTACACCTTACAGTCATTACATTATAGTCAGTACACCCTACAGTCATTACACAATGGTCAATACATTGTAAAGTCAGTACACCTTACAGTCATTACATTGTAAAGTCAGTACACCTTACAGTCACTACACAATGGTCAATACATTGTAAAGTCAGTACACCTTACAGTCATTACACAATGGTCTATGCATTGAAAAGTCAGTACACCTTACAGTCATTACACAACGGTCAATACACCAACAGAAAATATACAATGGTCAGTACACTGTAAAGTCAACACTCAATGGTCACTACACTAGACAATGAATACACTATGTCATGAAGCAACATACAATCGCTATATAACCCGGGATACATGGGCTATAACCCGGGGATGCAGGGGCTATAACCCGGGGATACAGAGGCTATAACCGGGGATACAGGGGCTATAACCCGGAGATACAGGGGCTATAACCCGGGGATACAGGGTCTGTAACCCGGGGATACAGGGGCTATAACCCGGGGATACAGGGGCTATAACCCGGGGATACAGGGGCTATAACCAGGGGATACATGGGCTATAACCCGGGGATACATGGGCTATAACCCGGGGATACAGAGGCTATAACCCGGGGATACAGGGCTATAACCCGGGGATACAGGGGCTATAACCCGGGGATACAGAGGCTATAACCCGGGGATACAGGGGCTATAACCCGGGGATACAGGGGCTATAACCCGGGGATACAGAGGCTATAACCAGGGGTACATGGGCTATAACCCGGGATACATGGGCTATAACCCGGGGATACAGGGGCTATAACCCGGGATACAGAGGCTATAACCCGGGGATACAATCAGCTATAACCCGGGGATACATGGGCTATAACCCGGGGATACAGGGGCTATAACCCGGGATACAGGGGCTATAACCCGGGGATACATGGGCTATAACCCGGGGATACATGGGCTATAACCCGGGGATACATGGGCTATAACCCGGGGATACATGGGCTATAACCCGGGGATACAGAGGCTATAACCCGGGGATACATGGGCTATAACCCGGGGATCTATAACCCGGGGATACAGGGGCTATAACCCGGGGATACAGGGGCTATAACCCGGGGATACAGGGGCTATAACCCGGGGATCTATAACCCGGGGATACAGAGGCTATAACCCGGGGATACAGGGGCTATAACCCGGGGATACAGGGGCTATAACCCGGGGATCTATAACCCGGGGATACAGGGGCTATAACCCGGGGATACAGGGTCTATAACCCGGGGATGCAGGGTTTATAACCCGGGGATGCAGGGCTATAACCCGGGGATGCAGGGCTATAACTCGGGGATGCAGGGCTATAACCCGGGGATACAGGGGGCTATAACCCGGGGATGCAGGGGCTATAACCCGGGGATACAGGATAACCCGGGATGCAGGGGCTATAACCCAGGGATGCAGGGGCTATAACCCGGGGATACAGGGGCTATAACCCGGGGATACAGAGGCTATAACCCGGGGATACAGGGGCTATAACCCGGGGATGCAGGGGCTATAACCCGGGGATGCAGGGCTATAACCCGGGGATCTATAACCAGGGATACAGAGGCTATAACCTGGGGATACCCGGGGATAACCCGGGGATCTATAACCCGGGGATACATGGGCTATAACCCGGGGATACAGAGGGCTATAACCCGGGGATACAATCGGCTATAACCCGGGGATACATGGGCTATAACCCGGGGATACATGGGCTATAACCCGGGATACATGGGCAATAACCGGGGATACAGAGGCTATACCCCGGGGATACAATCGGCTATAACCCGGGGATACATGGGCTATAACCCGGGGATACATGTGCTATAACCTGGGGATACAGGGACTATAACCCGGGGATACATGGGCTATAACCCAGGGGATACAGAGGCTATAACCCGGGGATACATGGGCTATAACCCGGGGATCTATAACCCGGGGATACAGGGCTATAACCCGGGATACAGGGTCTATAACCTGGGGATACAGGGTCTATAACCCGGGGATACAGGGCTATAACCCGGGATCTATAACCCGGGGATACAGGGGCTATAACCCGGGGATACAGGGGCTATAACCCGGGGATACAGGGGCTATAACCCGGGGATCTATAACCCGGGGATACAGGGGCTATAACCCGGGGATACAGGGGCTATAACCCGGGGATGCAGGAGCTTATAACCCGGGGATGCAGGGGCTATAACCCGGGGATGCAGGGGCTATAACCCGGGGATGCAGGGGCTATAACCCGGGGATACAGGGGCTATAACCCGGGGATGCAGGGGCTATAACCCGGGGATACAGGGGCTATAACCCGGGATGCAGGGGCTATAACCCAGGGATGCAGGGGCTATAACCCGAGGGATGCAGGAGCTATAACCCGGGGATACAGGGCTATAACCCGGGGACGCAGGGCTATAACCCGGGGATACAGGGCTATAACCCGGGGATACAGAGGCTATAACCCGGGGATACAGGGGCTATAACCCGGGGATCTATAACCCGGGGATACAGAGGCTATAACCCGGGGATACAGAGGCTATAACCCGGGGATACAGGGGCTATAACCCGGGGATACAAGGGCTGGGATTGAGTGACCACAGTGATAACTGGGTATTAGTGGTGACTGGGAAGTAAAACTTTCAGCCGATGATCATTTATCGAATCCCGACTTTGATAACCGTAGCTCACACAATCGACCACTTATTTGTGTTACTTAGACTTTGTTGATGTATTGCAAAGTGCGGGTTAGATACACGCTATTCAAGATCCATAACAAAGGTCTACACAATACTAGAAGCTAGTTCAAAACAAGGTGAATTTTAAAAAAGAAAAAAAAGATTTAAAAGAAAAAACGGGCAGGTATGTCGGAAAATTATCGTAAATTTTAAAAAATGTTGTTTTCATTTCCTCAAATTCTACTAATTCTAACTAATCTCCTTGTGTAGTGAAATCTCTAAAATACATTTTCATCCGTTATTAATTAGTATTTTGGATCAATTATTAACATAGCTATAGAGAGTAAAGCGGAAATAAAAAAGAATGTTATAGTTGTTTTTTAGTTGGGGAATTCGTAAATCAAGGCTGGTATTCTATCAAGTTTGTCAGGTAAATAGAGACATCCCGATCGTTCAAAACTCAACCCAGAAAAACCTTTTAAAAGTGAATAACAAATCTGGGGGTTCCCTCCTGTTAAACCTCAAAGTGATGCTATCAGCTGGAGATTAGTGAGATGTCGAATACAATACCTTTCCCCCCGAGCGTCAACCTGCCGGGTACCTCCAGAATCACCGCTACCAGCGCAACCACACCTGCAACACAGACAAAAATCTCATCATGACGCCGCTGTCACCTGCGATACCCGCGGCGGCTCGTGGCCCGCTTAATGAAGACTGTATCTGCGTTATCGGTGCGCTGCGCACACCTACAGTGATGAAACATGACATTTACTTAGCCTCTACACGAGTCTGAAGGGGAGGCTGCTTGTTAACATGAACATCCTGCCCCTCACTGCTGGGCATCCCCTCAACTGTCACACTGAATCAGACTCCCTTACCTGCAGACGCACACATGGCGCGCCACTCGCTGATGGAATGGCGGGGGAGAGGTTTAGGGTGGGGCAGAGCTGGAGGGGTAGAGGATGTACACGTGACACAATATCGTATAACATTTATTTTCCCTGAAACGTAGTATTGAGCCATATGAAAATGATAAAATATTACTTTTTTCGTTTGGGTCTTTTAGAATATCTACCGAGATCGGAAAACCTTATATGCTTATATAGTGGCGTCAAACAGAACGAGCACAGTGTTGCAAACAGCGCGGGAATTACAATGGTCAAGGAAATGGACTTGGGATTTAGCTCTCCATCCCGGTTCAATCCGACCTCCCTGTAGACTAACAACTAGTCTCTGAAATGAACATATTTTACAGAAAAAAAAGTCCATAGTAACACCAAAAAATATAATGAAAAGGAGCCCTGGACTTTCTTCATTTTCTGAAGATGTGGAAATGTAGACGCCACATTTTCTTGTGTGAGCTTTCTTGGATATATTTGCTTCAGGGTCCGTATGACAGACTACCATTTAAGTTGAACCTGAGGGAAAATAATGTGGTTCAGGGACTGTGAGACAGACTAGTTGAGAGGGAACACCCCTCCGTCCTTTCCAACTAATCCCCCTGCTGGGTCCCCAAGGGTAGGGTTATGAGGGAGGGGGAGGGGAGGGGGAGACAGAACCTCCCCCCGGAAGATACAACGTGCCACAATGCAGTAAAACACCACAGCAATTTGTTCTAGTGGCAGTTAGCAGATACAGCAAGCAGAACACAGCCCAGTCCCTTCCATTAAACTGCGGTAGGTTCAACAACAAGAGGCTTCCCATGTCATACAGAGAAACCATTGAACTTTATGGAGCCTAGCGCCAAACAGAACAGATCAAAATGTTGACATGTAAAACAAATCCGATGGTCAACCCCTCCCAGATGATCTCTCCAAGAATGGCAAGTTATGGAACCATTCTCCACAAGAAGAATCGGTCAGCGGTCATCCCACGTGGGGAAGTGTCCGGTCATTATGTCTCGAGTCTTTGATCCCGGTGCCTAATCAACTACTGCTGTGTGTACACGTCCGTAGTGGTACGCGCCAGCTGAGAGTCTTATTCACAGTGTCAGTCTGTTTACGTAGTAATCTAGCCCAGATGGTACGTCGGAACCGTCAAGACATTACTCGTCACTTGCTCCATGATATGCTAAAACAATATGACTGACAATCCTCATTCCATATCTTGGAAACCTGCAATGTGACGTCGTTGTAACGTTCCGGAACAAATACCAAAGAAAAATTCTTCATAAACAACAGAATTCACGCTCAAACGCCATTCAAGCTATTTGCGTACTTAAACAGGGTGATAATTTGCATTGGAAGAGAAATAATAATATATAACCGCCATGAAGCATTTAGAAAAAAAGTTGTCGATGTTTATATTATTATCTGCTACTTTGGTTTTTAAGTCGACAGAACCGACACGATGTGGAATGGTAAATATTATTCTTTAGATAGAAAGGGAAGAAGAACGTGGCAGCAGTTTTTTTACAGTTGTTGTGCGTAAATGTTTGACGGTTTCTTTGAACCTGTTTCACATATCATTAAGTACAGAATATACAGTCAAATAACGGAAGAAAGTTAGCCTTTATCCGTAATCCATATTTCGCAATATAGTCGCTGTGATCTTTTGTATATATTGTAACCATGGTTTTGTAAACATCAGATGGAATATTCTCTGTTATCTTACGTCGAAGAACTCCAGTACGCTCAGCTGTGTATTTCAGTTCAGTGAAGTAGAATTCTGAAATGCCCAGAACATGTATACGAAGTTGTTCTTCTGGAGTCGTATTTAGCTGATGATGAGGAACCTAAACCGGTTGTTTGTGTTACCTGCGCATATCCCTCTGGCTATCTGCGCAAACAATGATGGTCGTGTGTGTCAAATAAACACACGCTCCGGTACTGAGAGTCTGAGAATGGCGGCGCCGAAATTCATTCGGAACACACACGCTGGACTTATTACTCTCGACGCATGACCGCTGGCCGACAGTCTCCGTATGCATCGTTGTCTTCAGGGTGCAATTATCATGAACAGTCACTGGAGCAATAAATTTGCACTTTGAATTATATAATTTCTTTGATGCTCAAGTATGTTTAGTAGTAGATGAAACGGCTTCAAAGTGTAGTGACGACGCGCTAAATACCTAAATTCCTCATTGAGTGAGTGAGTGAGTTTGGTTTAACGCCGCTATGCACAGGGTATTTCAGTTATATCACAGCCTGCCCTCTTGATGTTCTAGCAAATCTCTAAGTGATCCAGGCATATGTCCTATACCACTTTGGCGAAATCCACGGCAAGCGGCTATGGTTCTGACAAGACCTAGAAATATAATCCCACGAACCGGGATTTAAACAGCAAAAACAGTCTTCTTTAGCACCCAAGGGCAGCATCTAGTCAAAGTGAATTGCGACTTTTTAAGGATAATGCTATAATGAGTGAGTCGGGAATTTATCAATATTCAAGCAATATCACGGTGTGAACACCAGAAATGGGCTTCACCCATTGTACCCCTGTAGGGAATCGAACCCGGGTGTTCGGCGTGTCGAATGCATTAACCACGATGCCCACTCACTTGTCCATTTGACGCCAAGTATGGATCAAGTAATGACCATCTTTTGACCTCTCTTGGTATGACACGGCCGGGTGATGGAACTTTCAATCTCCCGCTGTCAGTCAATAAGTACATTACCGTACATATGCCGAACGGAATCGCTCGAAAAACGATAAAACTAAAATTGACATAACACGAACTTGAAATAACTTTTCTCAAACGCTTCATTGAAAAAGATGACATAGTTTTTATTTGTTGGGGTACCTGGTTAAGATTTAATTGCCTTACATGCGTGCTTCACATGCGCACTGGAAAACTCACCATCTGTTTTAATCATCTAAAATGAGCCGCATGTACCACGCGCCAATTAACCTATTATCGGCAGCCGTGCTCAGACTGGGCTCTGTATTATGCACCTTATTACCAAGATGGCCAACTGAGGTAAATCTGCTCCACGGTGGCTCCGCATCTGCGGTGTATTACCAGTTCTCCACACACTGCACCTTGACGAGCTAGACGAGGCAACACAGGCGTATTGTAACTGGCCTTGTGATGTTGGCTTTTATTGAATAAAATCAGTTCCTTATTGCTTAACGTCCTAGATAAGATAAGTTAGTTTATCTTCCCAGCATTAGGACGCACTCCCATCTGATCGGTAACAGCTGTGGAACGAAATCCGTGCCGTAAGCAAAGGGTTGTTTGAGAATAGACACACAGTAAATATATCATCACGATGTTCCTATGATAACACTACTACCCATATTGTCAACAAATCTGTAAATAAGAACCAGCATTGCAAACATATTAAATGACTGCCCTGGTTTCAAAAATCATCAGATGTACATCCTTGGACGAACCCTTCTGTCTTCATTCGCAATGGTGGACTTGGAAAAGAAACAGTCTGGTTGCAATTAACGTAGAGCTATGTAAAAATACATCTTCACATATTAGGTTTCATCTCCGGACCTGTGGATCAAACCAAATTCATCCCCGACACCAGATTGTCAAAACACAGACGTGGGTGTTTAAGAAAAGTTTTCTTTTTCAAACCTGCATTGCCGTTATCTTCAAACGTGACAGGTCGGTGTTTTTGTTTGTTATATACATTTGCGTTTGTTTTGAGTTTTCCGAGATATATCCTTATTTTTGCTACTGTAATTAGTTTTGAGGAAACACTACACGATGCATCATCCGGGTTCCTGTTCAAGCTGTCATCACAATTTAGCGCGAGATATTGAAGTGCAAACTCATAAATACTTATTTTACTACATACGGTCATGCCTAAACACCATACAACACGAAACAATGCGTACCTCGTGGTCTTCATTGACTAAATATGTTCTAGGCAGGCCATGAATGTGAATAGCCCTCAGCTGGTGGACTCTTGAGATGTCGGGGCCACATACCCGTGGCCATACTTCAACCACCCCCCGCTAACACAACAACGCTGACATCTCCCAAACCGTTCCCCGACGATAAAATAGTCTCAACAGGGAAACCACGGCCATTTCGCAATTCTTACCCACAATAAAACCGTTTCCGGACGCCCCTGCCCCAAGCGTGAACTTTACATAATTCCTGATTCGTTTCAATCTCTAATCTCTCGACAAGTCGGGAAATAAATCACATGTTAAACATGTACAACTGCCATTGTATGGGGACTCCCCAAACCAGTAATGGTCGCAAAATGAAAACTGAGACTTAGGAATGTTACGATACTGGGATAATTGTTATGACAGAATCCAATTGTTTTCGTTTATCTTGTTTTTCTTTGTGTGCCTGGCTTATATCGGATGGTAAATCCGTTTCGGGCGATCTATCATCACCCGAACCCCACTATAAATATCCATCCTGTAGAGTTCCAAACAATTACCCACGCTAATATATTCAATTCATGAATGATGTTTTTATCCCCAAATTCAAACAGACGTTGTATATATTCTTTCGCCAATTTCTCCCTTTTCACATTATGCGGGCGTGTCCGTTTCTCCGGATTCCTGTTTTTCAAACTATTGCAGCTATTTCCGGTGAAATGCATGATGGGAAGGAAGAATGGTGGTTTTGTTTTGCTGACTCGGCAATATGTCGATAGGCTGACTCGTAGTATTATGCAATGTTGACAGAAACAACAGTGCTATCATGTCATCAACCCTTG